AATGACTCAGTATATTCCTTCCATCTTCTTTTAATACTTCCTGGATCATTTAATATTCTGCCCAAAGCATCCTTGATTACAGCAACTCTTAAGCCTTTAAAACTAGCAACTCAAAAAACTAGCATCTCATTCCTTTTGGGTGTTTGGCTGTAATTAAGAACCAACATCCTTCTTGAAGGGGGAATAAAAATACTAGGGGTTTTGTGGGTTGGTTTGTTTTTTTTTCCGTTCTTATATTTTTTTTCTTTTTTTAATTTTCTTTTAATAATTTTAATGAAAAAATACTAGGTTTTACCATCCAGTTTCCTCATTACTTGCTACTGTGTTTACCTTTTCAACATCTGCCCCATATCTGTACCTTGTATTTTTAAACTAAGAGAAAGTATACAACCCTAAGTAATGTTGGGAGATTTGCTGCCATTGTCCTTTATTTTAACAGCAGTTCATTACTCGGCTTCAAAACAAACAATGCCATGCTCATGTTCAGCAGCACAGACACTTAAATTGGAAAGATACAGAGAAGATTAGCATGGTTCCTGCACAAGGATGACACACAAATTCATGAAGCGTTCCATATTTTATAACAAAATTCCTTTTAAAGTTGCATATAAGAATATGTTTCCAATCTTTTCCTTTTTGACTTGTGGTTATTCTCCAATTTCAGTGTCGGTAAGACATCACTCATGAACCAATATGTGAACAAAAAATTCAGCAATCAGTACAAAGCCACAATAGGAGCAGACTTTCTGACAAAGGAGGTAATGGTGGACGACAGACTAGTTACAATGCAGGTAAGTACACATTTCAGCTTTGTTAATCAAGACTCCTTAATTATTTAGTCACAAAACTTTCTACTTCATGCTCAAGCAGTTTTCTTCCCTCTTCTTAAAATTCATGGGTAAATTGGCAGCTAGGGAGTATTGGTAGCCTAGTGAGTAAGAGATTGTATTGCCAACTCAAAGACAAGCAGTTTGAATCCACTAGCTGCTCCACAAGAGTCTCATCCTATGTGATTTACAGCCTCTGAAAACCCAGTGGAGGGTCAGCCAAGAATCCAAGACAATCAGTTAAAGTAGACTTTCAGATAAACATTGATTAGGTATGAGTATTTTATATAAGTATGTCCCAAATACCATATAAGACATAATTGCAGTAGAAGTTACCTGTTGCTTATGTGAAATTCTAGTTGAATTAGATTTCATAACTCTTGTAACTGTTTTATAGAATTAATTTTTCCTCCAATTTTGACAACCTAGTTTTCCGTCTTGTTTCTCCAGAATGTCTTCATTTATCAATGCCCAGTGATTTAGATTAAAAAAAACTTAAGTGTCTGAAATTCTTACAGCTGCTTTTAAAGTAACTTCACTGATTCCTCCCCATTATTTCTCCTGCTATTATTGTAAAATTGAAAAATTTCTATTAAGCCAGTTTAATTTTTCGTTTATCCACTTAATCTTTCAAGGGCTTTCCTTTACACTCCTTAGCTTTGAATGCTTGTGTAAAAGGTGCAGCTGTTTTCTATGAAGATGATATGATAGTATACTTAGAATACCCTAAAGAGTCAGCCAGAAAACTGTTGGACATAGTGGACCAATTCAGCAAAGTAGCAGGATGCAAGATCAATATACAAAAATCAGTTGGATTTCTCTACAGAGACAAAGAGAACACAGAACTGGAGCTAAGAAAAACAATACCCTTCACAATAGCTAATCACAAGATAAAATACTTGGGAGTAAATATAACTAGAAGCACAAAGGATCTGTGCAAAGAAAATTACAAAACATTACTACAAGAAACAAAAAGAGACCTTCAAAAGTGGAAGAAAATCCCTTGCTCATGGATAGGAAGACTCAATATTGTGAAAATGGCAATACTACCAAAGGCAATTTACAGGTTCAATGCAATCCCAATACAAATATCAATCCCATTCTTCAAATATCAATCCCATTCTTCAACGAGATGGAAAAAGGTAATCTCCAGTTTCATTTGGAATGGAAAGAAGCCTTGAATAAGCAAAACACTCCTTAAAAATAGAAAAAAGGTAGGAGGCATCTCACTCCTTGATTTAAAATCCTACTACACTGCCATGGTAGTTAAGACAGCATGGTACTGGTACAATGACAGACACATATATCAGTGGAATAGAATTGAGAACTCGGAAATCAGTCCATTTATTTATGGTCAACTTATTTTTGACAAGGAGATGAAATATGTTAAGTGGAGAAACAACAGCCTTTTTAACAAATGGTGTGGGCAATTGGAAAACTATCTGCAGAAGACTTAAGCAAGATCCACACTTCACTCCATATACTAAACCCAACTCAAGGTGGATCATGGACCTAGGACTAAAACCAAGGTCCATAAACTTCATTAAAGAAAAGCTGGGAAGAATTTTAAGTAGTCC